GAATGTAGGCTAGCTAATTGATATAAATTGCATTCCGAATTAGAATTGACTGTGTCAGTGAGCATTCCAGGTCAAGTTATGGCTATATTTAGTCTTCTCAATGACAATCCCCTGATTTAAATGGGGGCGTTGTTTTTCACTCAAGACTAAATTAGCTCATTTATGGCCGTCAAGTATGTGAAACATCTCAAATGTAAATCAAGACAGAGTTAAATATGTCATAAAGATCTTAGAAAGACCTATTAATATCTTTAAGTTCTTATGTTTCATTGAATCACTAATTTCATGTGCATTTATTGCATTATAAGCCTAACTGCACAAATACTCTCTCTCTAGAGGTAAAGCCTACATGCCCTGTGCTTTCATAACATAACAGTAAATGGGTCAAATTTAGGGCTCTCCCTCGTAGAAACACTATTGAATTATAGTAATAATGAAAATACATTTTTTAAAGAAAAACAGCAGTGGGAAGAGCAGCTGGCTAATCTATCTGTAATTACCAACATATGTTAAATACTATTAATGTAAAATATACTGATGTCACATAGTTTATACATGACTCAACCTCAAGTACTATTGTTTGTTTACTTTGTATCTTAAAGAGATGGTTTCACTTCTTCAGGATATGATTTACTTTATTATAGTCCTACTGACAACTCTACAAACCCGGAAATGGGGCAACATCTTCTTCAATGACATAAAGAATAGGTTGAAAAGGGTGTTACAGCTCTTAAACAATGGCAGCTAAAATACCATTACAACATTTTACATAAATTGATTCACCAGAATGCAAGTGTAATCAGATGTAATGTCCATCCATTTTATAGGGGAAAATGAAGACACACTCCTTTTTGCAATTCTGTCACCTGAAAACCAAGAAAACGACTTAACTGCTTTGAGATGCATCCATCATTTAATGAAAGCAGACTCTAACAAGAACCATCTGACCCAAACTTGGCCTGAAATCTGGTAGCCTAGCCAATAATTGGACTAGCAATCAAATCAACTCAGCACACAGAAAGTTGAAAAGGGTGTGGGGTTTAATTTCAACTATCATTGACAAATTTTAGTTCAAAGGTTCATGACAAGTTCAAGATTGTAAGAGAACTAAGCTAATAATCGGCCTTCAGTTGAGTTTTATCTCATACAGATATCTTACAAATTCTATTATTTCAATCTGATATCAATCAATAGTATTATTTGATAGGTTAGTGTTGGTACAATATGCCTTTTATTCATTATTGTTTTTTGATATTACAAGGGTTATAATGAAGTTTTCTAAATTTTGTATGTGAATTGGGGACACTGTTGACATCAATTCACACCATTCCAATTTTCAATCAGACATCTGTGCTTCTTGCAATTCCATTCAAATAAGCGTTTTGTGATGTCACTATTGCAAAAGCTGCTAATATGTTAGAGCCGTCTTCATAAGATGCTTAGTTTACTTGAATAGCAAGAAACAACGCAAGAAATAACACAAGAACCAACGCAAGAAATAACACAAGAAACAACGCAAGAAATAACACAAGAACCAACGCAAGAAATAACACAAGAAACAACGCAAGAAATAACACAAGAAACAACGCAAGAACAACAGATGTCTGACTAAAACTTAGAATGGTATCGTTCATAATATAACTAGTAAAGATATGAATTAGAATTGATTAGTATCTGATATTGATATTGACCGAGTATTATTGATAATATCATTGAGAGTTATACTATACAGATCATTATTAACTCCTAACAAATCATCAAACACTGATTAGTTTAGTCAATACTTGTTATTCTAGTTGTCTCGGCCAATTAGAATCAAATTTGTCAGCATTCACATTGGTTTTAACCTGGTCTGCCATTCCATCTAAAGCTTCTCACTAAAGGAACAGGTTTTGGGTTTTGGCATCTTGACATTGATTGGACGAATTTCACGTCATACACTACAGTAATGTCATTGGGGTTCATAGTTGTCAGCACTAAATAGACGTTAATATTATGACCTTGAGATTTGGGTTGTAACTGTTGTAAGTGTAGCGATCAGCGAACACAACAGGCTTCCAGTTTACATTGGTTTCTTGTCACATCTTCTAACGAATATCTCAAATTGGATGAGATCTGGATTTTTGAGAATCTTATTTGGTAGATAAAAGGTGATGAAATGAAGGATTGTCTTTCAAAGAATTTTGTGTGCTCAGTTGACCTGTTTTGCTGTTGAACCTTTTGGCCAAGCAAGAAGAAAGAGCCTTATCAAATAACAATATATACTTGAATTCTTGTCTGCGATAGAAGTGCTCCGTTGATTCAATCCCCTTCAACTGCACCTATTTGGCCAAGCAACAGGAAGAAACAAGCCTAATTAAATAATAAAGTAATTAGTTTTGGTCTGAAATAACAGTAAATTAATTAGTTAGATTAGCCCATGTTATCTCATCCCTGGTTATTTATAGATCTCAACTGGTAGACCAAACTCTTGCCAACACCTGAATAGATACAACTCTTATTAGAGTTCTTGATTATCACAAGATTTCAGTGTATTTGACTGGTTAGCTGGTTCCAATATCATGCCATTTATCTAATTCGATAATGCTTGTTTCGGATTTCTTAACTTCAAACAAAAGTCTTTGAAGCCCAACCTGCTAAAAATTGGCAATTTATTGGGCAGAACAAACAATCTTAATCCAGCCTAATTCAAGTCTTTAGTTTCCATGATGTTAGAATCAAGCAATAGCTCAAGATTGCTTGTGAGATTCTGCTATTTGTGCCCCCCTCGTCCCCCAATGACAATTATGTTGCCCTCCCCCCCCCCTCATCTCATGATTCATTGAAACACCATTGCTGTGTGTTGTTGAGACCTGATACTTGTATTTAGTCTACCAACCTGCCATGTTATTGGGTTACATTACTAGCCACTGACACTTGTCATTTGATAAATACCAGGCTGTGAGATTCTAGTTTAATTGTCTGAATGGTTCATTCTCAAGTTATTTCAATCCTATTAACATTTCCTTTAAGTGATTCTAATGTTAAGAACATTTCAATTATCTTCTTTGAATGTTGACAGTTATGCTTAGAAAGGGCAAAAACTTCAAAAGAAATCTCCCAGAATGGTTTAGTATCAAATCCTTTCAAAACAATTCTCATTTCATTTAGGAAATCAGAATTTTAAAAATATTTTCTTATTAGAAAGGGTCAAAACTTCAAAACTATTTCCAGATTGTGTTTAGTCCTTCAGAAAAAAGTCAAGTTTTGTTTTTTTTTTGATAATGTTTCCTCCATTGCACAATTCACTTAAACAGATAAACTTTGCCAGAACATACCAATGTCCATTTTTGCAAGTGCAAAAATTTGAACAAAACGATGCAGAAAAGGATTTTATGCCATTTTAATTCTTTTTCTTCATTTTCAAGAAAATTTCATTAAAATTTGGAAAGAGATCAGCCATTCTTGTTCAACAAACAAATATCCTTAGATTTAACTCAGACCAAATATAAACTCTCTGATAAATGAATCACAAACAAAGCTAAGGTCAAGTATGGTACTTTCAATGAATAGGTCACTTTTTAAGTATATGTCAAATTTACAAGACAAGGTGGCCTTCAATATTAAAGAGATTGTAAACAGATTTCTAAAAAATTTGTGCGTATAGGGGACAGTGATAGCATCGATTTGCACCATTCCAATTTCAGTAAGCTGTAAGACGTCTGTGGTTCCAATTCCACTGTGCGTTTTATGATGTCACTATCACAAAGGTCCTTACATATCAATAGCAACTTTTGAGACAGTGACGTAATAACACGCTTACTTTCAGTGGAATTGCAGGAAAAACAGACGTCTGACTGAAAATTGGAATGGTGCAAATTGATGATATCAGTGTCCAACATACAAAATTCAGAAAACCTCTTTGCAATCTCTTTAAGTTTCCCTCTGAACACTGGCGAAATTCAACTTTATAAGACAGAGCAGTCTTTTATATTGAGTTTATGTCTGATCACTGGCAATTAGTGTATACCCAGCATGGGACTAGCTGACATGTTACATGTTCAAAACCACAAACCCTCCATTGTTCAAATATAATGACTGTTAGGGTTGGTTTGATATGTCTCTTGTCCATTGAAATCAATGTGCAAACATGTGATTTAGAGACCAGTAAAGCCTACAGAATATGTCTAACTCAACCGTATAACAAGCTGAATTGCCGAAACTAACTTATAAAGTATTGAATGAAATAAATGAAAACCCCAAAAGAGATGAATACATCCCTTCATGATTCTAGAAAGCCTTAAGTCTGAACTTATAGATAAGAACTAAATATGGTATAAATTTCATAACTTTATATTTAGATTTTCACCTTGTATGTTTCGTTCTAAAAGTAGCTATTGACTAACTAAGTTCAGAGGGCACCTTCAATAAACCACAACAGTTTTCTTTCCAAGTTTCAATAACTATTTATTTGGAGTATTGCCATAAAAGGGCAAGCCAACTAAAGATATGGTGTTTTATAACTAGATAAGTGGAGAGTGGTTATTCAACAGGGCCTCATTAATAACAATAAATATTTCATATGAACCCTTTTCTATTGACATAGCTTACATAATATCCTGAATAATTTCAGTTCAGCTAGAGTTGATAACTCTTAATTATACAGCTGAGCTCTTAGCAACTGAATAACACAATACCTTTAAATCCTTATATGGACCTTAATAACAGCTGATATCCTTGCTTATTAAAGGGAATATATATTTCCAGAATTGACACACATTGTGGAAGTTTATGGTATGACAATTTGAATACGAGACCAAATTTGGGGCTTTCTTAGTTCATCAAACTACTAATAGAAACATGCAATACCAATCTTTATACACAACAAAAAGGGGTCTTTTAGATTCAGAAGTTTTTCATCTGTAGAATTGGGGAAGAGATTGGTATATAGACTTTGTCAATGTTGGTTTAGTAAATTTTCATCCTCTAGATTTTAAAAGTAAAAATAAATTTTCACATACCTGGCCAGCTGTATCACAAAGTTGTAAACGTACAGGATTATTATCAACTGTTACTAATACTGGAAAGAGAATAAATTTCACTGTTAGAACCATCATTTTATAGTTATACTCTTGAAAACAATGGAGGTTGGGGGAGGGGCGAACGGGGTGGGGGTGAGGCATTAGTCAATGGTCAATATCAATAATCAAGGGACCAGGGTGAACAGCAAAGACTTTCAAATATAAACTTCACCTATAGGAATATTTACAGCTAGTTATAGATATTAGGAGGGTCTGAGTTGATTGTCAGGCGTCATTTATTTATAAAAATAACAATCAGTTTTCATGAAAAAGGGTTAAGGGCGGAGTCTTTCATAAATAAACTTCACATTGTAATAACAAGTTTGAAAAGTTTTATTCTAAAGATTTTTTTGCATATCTTAAAATATTATTGTAGGATTTTCACTAAGTTTGAAATAAAAGTTAATGAGGCATAGAAAAAGAGTTAAAAACTTTATGAAATCGATTTTTTCTGAATATCACAAATTGCTATGCGCTAGCAGGCCTGAATATGTAATAATTATACAACAATTTGTCAACAAATTGCTCTATATAGTCTAGTTTCATTCTCTCACTGTTCAGTAGTTCAAATTAAATTTTCAACATATGGCAATAGTAGGTGATTGATGTTAACAACAAGGCTTGGTTATATGCAAGGGAATAGTTGCAAAAAACCTAAGGCTAGAATCGTCAGACATGTCTAATGCTTGATAAGATGTCTTAGTTGTAGGTTAGTTGTATGGCAGGGGACAGTGTCAAAAAACATTTTGCTTAAAAAACAACTAAAGCAAGACAAAATTCTTGATTGACTGTTATATGGCAGGGGATAGTGGCAAAACTCCTTATACTATGTAGCCTAGAAATGTCTTGTTTTGTGCTAAAGACCCAAATTAAACCCATATTACATTATTACTTATCAAGTACGCAACTGTATAGCTTGCTACAAACTCTAAACAACTTACAATCTAACTTAAATGTTTTCAAAAATCAATGAAGCCAAGGTGAAATAAGCTATCAATATTTCTGATGGATTTCTAACCATAATTGTCACAGGGTGAAAAAATGAATTAGTAACATAATGAAATGTTTCACAGTGAAAAAACTGGTGTAACAAATGTTAATATATTGAATTTTGGTCTTTTTTAAACCAAATTGCTCACAATGCAGTTTTCATATTTATTAATCTTTTGGTGTTTTGAAATAGTTAGCCGTTTGCAAATATTTTGATGTTTTAATTTTAATATCTAATAAGTTAGCCAAATATTATCAGCTTTTGGTGTTTCAAACTAATTGAATATTTATGACAATTTTAATATCGGGTATTACATAATTTTCCTAACTAAAATGCAGGAAATATAACTCAAAACTTTTACAATGATTCATTGTGAATTATTCAATATCATACAAAAACCATCCATCAAAGTAAACCTTGTTCACAAAATTTATGATACCATGATTCATACAAGAAAATGAACAATTTATTTTGGTATGACAATTTGATAACCTTCAATTTAGAAACAAAATGAAACAATGTTACAGTCATTTTATCTAAATTCCAATTTTATGGTTTTTTATTTATTTCAATTAGCTTATAGGGCAATATATAGATAATAGGGCAATATCACAACCATTGGGTAATATCATAATCATTAGTACAATATTTTAAGCCAATAGGGCAATATAAAAGTAAGTAGATACAATGTATTAATATGTATATATCTGAGAAAATTGTCTTATAGTGATGTGTGAAATAGAAATCAATGAAAATTTAAAACTTGTGATTCCATCAAAGGGTGGGAATTGAAAAGGGGAAACTAATACATGCCAAATCACACAGAAATCATTGAAAATTCAAATCTCATGATAATTTCTCACCAGAAAAATGTCAAGTCAGGAAATCATTTGTAATTTTAGGTCAAAGTATAAGTAGTTTCTCACAAGTCAACGAATAAGAATAAGGAATAAGAAATAAAGAAACGTATTGATCAGTAATGACTTCAGGAGTTATTGTGGTTATTGTCGCAGTCAACTTGAAATTAACTTGTCCTAGCTATCCAGATAATTAGTTACTATGATACAATATATATTTCTTTTTTATGCAAAAATTATGTTCTTATCTAGGTTATCAAATGATTTATTTAAATGCTACTGTAGCCTATACAACATAACTTATCAATGGATAAATGCAGTTGAAAGTAGCAAATAATCTTGAAGTATCTATTAAAAATAATTTTTTGATTTAGGTATGAATATTGTTCTCATTCATTTACAACTTTTAGTAGCTATAATTTTTTTTTTTGCCATTGCCATTTGTCAAATGTTTTGGTCTTTAATTCTTCTTTAATTTAGGTATGAATATTGTTACTCTATTTAGTTAAACATTTTAGTGGCATAAAACAGTTCTGGATTTTGCCATCTGTCAAAGGTTTTTAATTCTCTACACTATAGAAAGGTAACTGTTATTAGCCTGAATAATGGCAGACTGAAGGGATACCTGTGAGGTTTATTTATTACTAATTTCAAAACAAAATGGTCTATTATAGTTTTCTAATAGAGGACACAATACAAAAGGCAAAACCCTAATTTGAATGCACTTCAATAAGATGTCAAATTAATTCTAAGACATGCTTTTTGTTAAGAACCTCCCATGGGCAGCTGTTGACAGCTTTATGACAATTACCTGAAAAATGGTCAAACGCCGTCGGCACATATTCCGTAGGGTATCCATTTGTTGTATAACTCACAATTAAAGAAGTTTTTCCCACCGCCCCATCACCGATCAAAACACATTTGACGGGATGTTGATCTGGGCGAGAGTTTTCTGGTTCGGGTAATAAATTAGTATTGTGGTCCATCATGGTATGGGGTGGCATTTTAGGTCTAAAAAAACTTGAGGATGATAATCCAGAGGCGATCCTCACGCTACCGTCAGCTGACTGTCAAAATGACGAAGCTGTCCGAATACCACATAGAGGGCTTGAAAGTCAAAACAAGCAGGTATAAAAACTTTCCCAAAACGGAATACACTTTCACAACATGTTTCACTTTGTAACACTTTGTTCACGGCAGCTAAAGTAATTCCGGAAAAACAATCGCAATCCTGTGTATCTCCAGATTCGAAATATATCAAATTTTAACTCAAAATGTAATTCGTATGTGTACGGGGATTAAAACTAAAAGCGAAGCCCCGTCCGACATCTACTCGGCTATATCAAACAACTAACTAAAGTTCGTCTGTCATGCTAGAAAAGATCAACGAGGAAAGACGACATTTGATTGGTTGAGAGAAGTGACGTCACGGTGATGACTCACGCGCCGCACAAGTTGATTGATAACTTACCTGTATAGATGATTACAGGTGAGAAGACTTAACAAAACTTGGACAAAACATTTTCGAATTGAAAAGACGCTTATATCATATGATATATTAATTGCTGACTGGGGTTTCAATGGTGGGCTAGCCCGTGCGACAGTTCTAGCACAACTTTCTTTTGATAATCTACCTAAGGGGGCTATGCACAAGGAAAAGTTTCCGTAAGCTTTATAAAAGTCGAAGTAAAGTACATCCAAATAATCGTCAAGTATAAAAATAAGGCCTGTACTTTCATTGATGTTCTTCGGATCTCTTTCCCTGCTCTTTTGAAAATAAGAAATAAGATTAGATAGAAAGTCTCCTATAGTCGGGGTTGAGTCTCCACATATACTAGAAAATACGCAGAAAAAAACTTGTAAGAAATCATAAGGTGGAGGATCCGAGTAAGGGCCATAGATATGTCAAGGGAGGCTCAATGTAACCCCATACTTCTAAGAACTCAATAGACGCAAATTCTGTCCAAACTCCGACATTACAGTTTGGACTCCGATCCGGACCCCGGGCCCTTTCTCTTTGCGACTTATTTCCCAAACCCCCGTGTGTCGGATGTCACCAGATTATGATTATAATATGATTTTATAATGTCTCATCCAACCGAGCCTGTATTTCCGAATGATGGGAAACAAACAGGTAAAAAAATAACCACACTTATTTCAATTCGTTACAGTGATTGAGTTTAGTTGGTGTAAAATGCCCCCCCCCCCCCCCTCTGACCTCTTTTCGCCACATTTAGTTGACTACAGAATTTAACTTGGAATTTTGTAGATAATCTATCACAGTTCATATTCACCATACTTGCTTTAGAAAATGTCCAATTTATATCTTGTACGTATATAATTTCATCCGTATACAAGTTCAAGGCCTATCTCGCTTTTTTGCTCTTATGCCATAAATCCTATATTGAAACTTAATTTCTATTTCCTCACCAAGCAAGCTATCCTGATGAGGAATCTATATCAAAAACACACGTCACCAGCATAAGATTAGCTCTTAAACAATCATATAGATATTTAAAAAATTTTAGAATTATAAATTCCATCATTTTATCGTGAGGTGAAACTGTTTTTGCTAATGAAAAGCCTTACGATTTGAGTACAGAGCATTCGTCAATCCTCGGCAGTTTCCGTAACGCTGAAACTGTTGCAGAGCGCAAGCGTAACTTTCATGGTAGGTCGATTGAGTCCAGAGTAAGAAGGGTGTTTCAGACCAACCGTAAAGTGATCTCACTCTATGACCAATCTAATATAGGGGAAATTTAGCACAGAATGATATAAGCCATCGATTTATGGGAATTATTACTAAGCCATGACAAATTGCTACTTAGCGACTAAAACTTAGTCTTAAACTCGAGGCCTGGGATCGGGGTAATTCAATGGAATGCGCAATGGTTTATGTTAGCGGGTTAAGAAAATTCGTGAAGTGGAATACAATTTATGGGAATGAAATGAATTTTACGTCCTGATCTTCTGTACTGGATTAATGAAGACGGACAACACCATAAAGTGTGTCATGATGGAAATTTTTCCAAGACAGTGACATTTTCAACCGCTACGCACACAATTCTGTAGCACACAAGGCCTTGGTTTAATGGCTCATCCGAAAAAGATGCTTTTTCCATGTCAGCCCCTAAATTAATCATGAAGATAATTCCGAAAATATAGCAGAATTTGATGACTGTAAAATCAATTAGAATTTCGATATTGCTTTCACAAATAAATACACCTTCGATGGATTTTTTATATCCTAACCAAGTAGTGCATTAATTTATAGCCATCGAAAACGACTTACACGGCACCTATAGCATAATTGTAGTCTTAACTATTTTATGAAAGACAGAGTAACGTCCCCTTAGTTGATTTCTGTATGTCTTGTACTTCGCATAATCAATGTAAACGATTGGTGCCTGTGACACATTCGCTTGTCTTGCAATATGCAAATTTTAAACTCCATATCCATGATAAAGCACCCCCCCCCCCTTTTTTTTGAGCCCCCAATATAGCCTAACCCGTAACCTTGCAGCGAAATAGCTCAGTCGGGAGCATTTAGGATTGTCGTCTGCTCTACTAAAGGTAAGAGAAAGTCTGGTGCCAATATTTCGGATAGCCACTGCATCAGCTTTCATCCCAAAATACCAAGGGTTGATTTGATCTAGTAGCCTAGTTTGTGTCAAATATGATGTCACAGGGTGACGTGAGTAAATTATTTTAGCGATGGTTCGATAATAGTTTTGACATGTATATAATTAATTGTAACAATACTGGGTTAGCGGGCAATAAAATTACTTCATTACATGTCAAAAACATATCAATTAATTTATAACTGCTTAATAAGTGAGAGATATGTTTTTATCGGGTTTGTTGGAAATATTTGGGTTAAATCGACACCTGTAATAATACGTCAAGTTAAATTTAGCTGACGTCGATTGTTTTATTACGTCATGACATATATATCTGGGGGTTTTATTGAGTTTATGATAGTTTTTCTTTGTTATTTATCCAATACAATCAAATATAGAACATGTCAAAGGTGAAACCTTGTTAAATATTTTGATAGGGCAATTAAAAGACCAAGATTGGCATTGCGAATTAAACGCTAATAAATTCATATCTTACACCTGCATAATTATATCTATACTTTTTAGGAATGCCCTATAGTGTTTTTATCTAGTCTTTGCCATGTGGACTCTCTTTAAGGTTCAGGGTCTAACACACCAAATCCAATTATGATTATTGCTTCTGTATCAAAATTGCTTTTCGAATGCCTCTGTCTTAGGCAATGTTTTGTTTAGACCTTATTTATACTTTTTTGTATTGGCATCAGACAAATACAATCTTCAATATACCTTTTATCTCTGAGCCCATGGGGCAGAACAATAAAACGAAAAACTTCGTTCATTTTATTTTTTAAGCCCGTGGGTCAAATTTTGTTATAACTCTAAATTACATCTTAGAGGTGAAAATTAGGCATTTATCTCTTTTGTCAAAGACAATTTTGTTTTTTCCATTGTGTTGATAAATGATAGATAATAGAGGCGATTTATGGTTTGAGATCAATTAGTGACAGTCGACCTGTTCCATATTACACCCATTTCGACAATATCACAGACCCTTTGTTATTTCGGTTGCTGAAAAATGCCCAGTAAGAAAAGGGTCATTCCAAAAGGAAATAAACGAACATTTTTTACAAGGATAACTTTAGTTCACAAGGATCCCGCTATCATCGTGTACAAGCCACGCCCCCTTTCATCATACTCCCTAACAATGTCAAAACTCGTATTCGGTATACGATGCCTGTCTACCCTCTGATCCATGGCTAAACTTATTGGTATGGATTTTACAAGGTCATCATGGATCCTTTCTACCAGCTGAATCCAAAGCCAAACCCCTTGACATCGATCTTTCGCGGATTATCAATACTCATACAGATAAGGTAACTGAGACAGTTCAAAAACGTAGGGGTAGGTTATAGGGCATATCACATTAACCGCCGTGTACAACATCAAAGTCGATTTCCACTGGAGGTTATTTTGTTATTTACTTATTAGTACACAATAGCCCTTGATTGGTTAATATACTGTTTAATCCCAGGGGGACGGGGCAGGGACAATTACCTACCCAGGGACTTGGCTACTTGCTAAAACCCTCCAGTCTCGCCGATCGTCTGCGTTTAAATCAAAGAGAAAGTTTTTATAAGTAAAATAATGTAATTAGAGGCAATTGTATACCCTTTTAACATGGGAGATATAAAACGGATTTTCCGTTAATCACGCCAATAGGTGTATTAACGGTCGCCTTTCTTCTTTAATCTGGGCAAATTAGATTAAAATTAATGATAATTACAAAGATAAACTTGCTCTTTCATCTTAATTAACACTGTCAAAACACCATCTTTTTTTTTTATCCGAAAATTAAATATTACACAACTTTTGTCCAATTTCGGCTACCCCCGAACCATTTTAAGACAAACGTTTTAAATTTGTGTTTTCGCCATTCCTAATTTATCAATTATTATATTTCTATGGCTATATTAAACGGCTACCGCTGGTGCTCTTGAATAAAAATCCAACACAGTAAGATCTCTTCTACAAGAAAATGAATCATTTAAATCTGTTGAAATTTTCCCAAAAGGAGGAAGGTGTTAAGATTCTAGATAGGCGATCATGTACGGTACTCAAAAATGTTAGAAATGGCCTTGTTGTGGTCGTAGCCGAAAGGGAGGTAAATCCAATTTAGCATCTTCTGCCAGATTGCAGTCACCTTTCTGTTATATTCATACATCCCCTCTGAATGCCTAGATTTTTTTTTCTTTCTGACTGCCATTGTTCATGGCAAAGTTTATATTTTGGTTTAATCATTTGGGATAAGTCAATGAATATGAATTACATGTAATTTTCTGTGGTGAACTCATTATGATAATCTGGCAATGCAGCATTTCTGTATCAAACATGGCAGACAACCACTTCCGGTTTAGAAATATTTCCCAAATTTTCCTTATTTTTTCATCATTTTGCCCATCCCAAAGCGAAATAAGTGAAATATCAACCCCCTAACAACGATAATAGTGGTTTTAGTCGATCTTGGTAAAGAATTATATTCATTTTAGTGGAATTAAACGTTATTCAACATGAATTCGAATGGCCTTGAATGTCGCATGATAGGTTCGTGAAAAGGGAGTGTCTTTGGGTGTGTGAATTCAGTTTGACCTACAAACAGATGGACTAAAACAGCCTTGTAAATTACGCAAGCTAGCCTTCTATCTTTGGATTAAACTTGTGACCTCTTTCGTAGATTTTGATGATTAAAATTGACTTTGTCACTGAAATCTGAACTGTGGTAGACTTTCAGATTACATAACAACGAGGATTATGTCAAACTGAACTAGTCTATTTATAGAAACTATATTTCCATTTAAAACTGAAGTGTGAATAAACTTGATAGTCCTGGTTAAAGTTGTGTTGAAGGAAATCATTTGTTTAGGACATGATGTTGGAGTCAGATTTTTTGGCTGAAAGCACAAGGTTAAATCAAGGATTAGTTTGTTGAGAAATCTTTAGCTGTCAATGAGAATTTTAAGGATTTTGTTTTTTCGAGGTGACGTTGAATAGGATATTAAAATGTTGAACTTAATTTATGTGTAAGTATCAATTGAAGCGAACTTTGTAAAGGTTTGATGAAATTTGTTGGCATTTGAATTTAGTCTTTTTCAAAGGTTATGAATCTGTTATACTGACAGAATCATATTTGCATGTCTGATACTTTTCAATGCAACAAAAACATAAATAAAAGAATTTGTCTCCTGTATGTCATTATTATCAGAGTAAAGTTTAGATTAAGCCTACTTTGTCTAAATATTCTTCTTCACCATTTGATAAAGTTTAGGTTCAGCTATCTCTACTGCTTTTCAGAATTCAATTTCCATTTATTGTTCTCTTTTTGTATTATAATAAAAATGTGCCATGGAGTTTCAACTAATGATGTTTTTATTTATTGAATTGTAAGAGAACCTGATGTCAGATATGAATTCTGAAAAGCAATATGGAAAGCTGAGATTAAGCTCTATTAGCTGGTAATGCAGATTATTAGAGGAATTAACAGATAGCTGAAATTTAGCTCTCAAATGATAACAGAAAAACTTTTGATGAATTATCCTTTTTGCTAGTAATTTTAAAATCTAATGCCTGAAATCAGGTGAGAAAATAAGGCTAGAGGATAATCTGGCTGCTACTGGTTAAAACTTCATAGGATGTTGAACAGGTCAAAGGTTAATGGGATTTCTATTGGCAATAATTGATATTTAACCATGATTAACCTTTTCAACTCTTAATCTGTTCTGTGTGGATATAAATATAGTTATAGACGTAGTTATTTATTTGGATTTTAAACATTTTAATCTTACTGTTTGTACTATGACTTGGATTTATCGGTAATTATGGCAAATTAATCAAGAAGTTTAGTTCAGTTTTGCTATGGTTTGTTTATGGGTATTCTTTTCTTGAACTTGTTGCTTGAATAAAATAAAGAATATTTCAGCCATTTTATATTTTCCATTGATAATAGTTTTTTTTTACCATCATTTGATTTTCAATCATTTTATTTCAGACATATGAATTGCTGTCAGACCCCAATCAATATATCTAGAAGATACTTCACTCTAGCATGGAAAAACATGGAGGCCAGAGATTTAATGAAAAGTTCCAAAAGAAGGAGATCTGCATTCGAGATGAATGAAATTACAAATTCTACTGGAGATGTCACCAATCAAGCAAGACTACAAATAGCATCCTCATCCTCATCTAGAGAAGGTCTTGAACCTACACATTCAGCGGGTCCTTATCTTGGCCCAATTTATCACTTACCAGCTTTTAGAGGTTATGTCGGCAATTTTCACCAGACGGCATCTTATTCCACCAAGACTTGGTCTGTTCCTGGAAATGACCCTGGCTCCAGTTCTGAGATGAATCGAGAATATTTTGAAGAACAGAAATGGGAGACTGTGAGTGCGAAAGAAGAGAGACGTCACCATAAATATGAAAGAGACCACACTAGAGATGGCTATCCTAGAAATACTAAATCATATAAACCTCATCATAATACAGGCCATAAAAATAATCAGACAGATTCATCTGGTAAGTCTTTCTGGTAGGAAATTGCAGCAGTAGATTCTTCCCCTCTGCCCCATGGCAATAATTCCTTGTCTTCCAATTCCTCTCCTGTTAAAGAGGTTATCACTGATTTAGCCGGAAGAATGTATTCTTATCTCTTCAAATGGTTGGTGGCAAATTTTATGTTTTGTTTACATGACCTTTATTTCCATTCTCCCTCAACCGCAATCTTATTGGTCAGATATAAATAGCATCAATCTCATCTCCCCATTCACAAAACGAAATGTTGTGGGCTAAGTTTTATACGGGCTAATAAGCCTTCGGGATAAGATGATGAGAAACACTGCTATATTTGATATTTTATAAATTGCAGGTTTTTCCAGCTTACCAAGACGTTGGGAATATACTGAAGCGGGTATGAGATACGAACGTGATGGTCCGAAGACTGGTAAACCTGGACTACCATTCTCTATTATGTCGTACAATGTCCTGTCCCAGAATCTGTTGGAAAACCACATGTATTTATATAAATCCTGTCCCCCAGAGGCCCTTGACTGGGATATGAGAAGTGAGAAGTTGTTGACAGAAATAAAGCTGTATAGTCCAGATGTAAGTAACTCCCTGTCTTATTGGGGGAGCCGCGGTGGCTCAGTGAGATAGACACTTGCAGGTTAACCTGAAGGTCCAGTGTTCAATCCTAGCATAGCTCAAGATAAAACTTTGGGATTTTTTAACCCTGCTGACATAGAAAAATGTGTATAGTTTTTGGGATTTACCCGACCCCTTTTTGCTGCAAGCTGTTAAAGATTCCTCGATAGTTGGAAATAGATATGTCTCTTTTGTCAAAAAGTTGACTGCACCCTGCATAGCGCTGCCTGTTCTAATTAGCCCAAGAGGTGCAGGAGAGTAGGACATAAAACGCCATTTCATTCGTTTTGGTTGGTAAATCGGATCGAAGTTGATTTTTATGCAATAAGATAATTCCATTCAGTAAACAGTTTCAATATATTTCTGTACATGATTTTGATTAAAAATTCTTATCATCCTAGATTGTTTCTCTAATTTTGTTAGGGTGATAAAATGCTTGATTTTGAGATGACTTTTATTTATTTTTTTTAGATTATTTGTTTACAAGAAGTACAATCCGACCATTACGAATCTTTCTTCAAGAATAAATTATTTAAATTAGGTAAGCTTACGTAGCCAGCATGGGAATTAATATCTTCACAATGTCAAGCTATTACAAACTTCGTACTTTTAACCAGTCAGTGATGCAGGTTTGAGGGGTTGATGTGCAAATTGTTATTCAGATGAGACAATGGACCAAGGTTCCCTGCACATTGCTCTGCATGCCGTTTCCCATCTTCATTAATCCTTAGCCCCATCGTTAAGAAAACTGAGACCTAAAACATCAATGATTTCATTTCATTTCTGATAACTTGGGAGATTTAAATAAATTTGATATTTGACTGATATTTCAGGGTATGGTAGTGAATATATTAAACGATCTGGAGATAAACCAGACGGATGTGCAACATTTTATAAACAGACTAAATTCACCCTGGTTCAGTCCACGCCCATTGAATTTTATAAAGGTGATATCTTAGATAGAGACAATGTGGCCTTAATTCTGGAACTTTCACCAAATACCAAACTCTATCATGGTTCTGTAAGAAAAATCGGCATTGCTAACACGCATTTATTATACAATCCAAAACGCGGGGACATAAAATTAGCCCAGTTGATGGTTTTACTGGCTGAGTTGGATAAAATTCTACTTCGTAACTCTACAGAAAAGAAGCCGAGTTACTTCCCTTTACTATTATGTGGTGATTTCAATTCCGAGCCTCACGGTGATCTGTATAAATTTTTAACAACGGGCTTTTTGAATTACGAAGGAAGACTTGCACGGAATTTATCAGGACAGTATGAAGGAACTCGTGGCAGAAATTATCAAATGAAAAAACACTTCTTTTCTTCAAGTTTTGGAATCACTGATCAGTGTCAATACGTTCAAAATGTGGTGGAGCGCCAAGAAAGTCAAACTCAGACGTCTGAAAAACGTTTAACTAATAAAACAGGATTGTCGTCTAGTTCAGAATTATTCCAAGGAACAGTTTCTGGACAAGTGACGTCTGAGGAAATCTGTTTTCGAAATCCAAATTCAGAAGAACTGTCTTCAAAACACAGTCATCAAGACATTAGTAATATTAGCAGATGTCATGAAGCTGTTCCCCAGCATTCTGTAACTTCAGGATTCATTTCTAATCTTTTCTCTCAGGACAATCAAAATCTCCAGGATCCACAGGTGGCTAATATATCTAAAGCCACTCATGTGGATACTTCAGATAAAAATAGTTCTGTATCTACCCAACCTGAAATCAGACAAACGCGTGAAAACTGGGACACAGAAATCCATGAGAACTCAAAAACCCTACGCCATTTTTCACAATCGTCAGGTAGACTGTGGCATAATTTTAATCTCATCTCGGCATATAACCATAGAATTCAAAGACTGGGATTCCGAGAATACGAAGTGACGTCTCAACATGCCCACGAAGCGTGTTGTGTGGACTATATTTTCTATAGTGGTAGTCGTGGTAACAGTCAAGGACATTCATCGTATCGTGAAGGGAAACTGAAACTATTGGCTAGATATGGTTTAATGTCTAGTCAGGAACTATATCGAATGGGTGGTTTACCCAATAAAGTTCATCCATCAGATCACATGTGTTTAATTTCCAAATTCTTGTTGAGGTGAAAGTGAATTATTTGTTGTTGTTTGTGAACTGTTGTTTTAAAGAAGTTGATATTTAAGAAATTTTAAGAAAAACTATGCCTGATTTTTGAGTATTTTCTTCCTTAATTTTTGACTCACCAAATGTTACAGTGATAAAATTAAATTAGTTTATGTGGTTTGTAAAAATGACTTTGTGTTTTTAAGATATTTATGAAATAAATAATTTTCAAATGATCTATTACAGCCGTTTTGGTTAATTTCATTGGCAAAATTTAAGAACTATCGTATTCCTTCACTTTTGAAGATTTGCTGGCTCAAGTCAAATTTTTAGCGTGATAAAACTAGTGAACTAGTAACGACGCTAACCTCTCGAAACTTGGGGTGAAAATGAGGGCACAAACCATTTTTCTAGGTGGGTAGATGGTGCAAGTGTTAACTTTCGAGAATTGGCGAATGCCACAACGACAATTTCTCATTTGGTTTGAATTGTATTTGCAATAGCTAGTGATGTAGACCTGATCGCCATTGATGCGGTGATCTGATATCCCTTATATTCTCTGGTCCATGGCCAGGTGGTCAAGTGTTAATACTGTACCAGTCCAGAAGCGAGCCATCGATATTTTTTTTATAAATTACAGGTTCATCAAAAGTTTTAATAACAAAAAATAAGTGATGGAATTTAGAAAATAAACAGAGCTAGTGAAATTTGATCATTTGGCAAAGAATGGCACTTGATATTGTCGGAGAAAGCTGAAATCTGTTACGTCATGGCCAATAAATATCTAAATAATTCGTAGGAGCTTATTTTCTGAAGAAATTGTCGATTAAATTTACCTTTCCCTGGTATTTCTGATAATTGTCGATAGTTAAAGTTGAATTGACTGAAGAGTACTTACACCTGATGCATGAAAACAAAAAAGGCCAAAAAGCATATACGACGGGCTGGACCGCGGTCCAAGCACCTCGTACCGTAGTCCGAAACATCTGCCTCTATTCCAGACTCTGATGGATATTTTGACAGTTGTCTGCACCAGCTGACATCTATCCAAATAGCTATCAGAGGCTGGAATCGAGGCAGATGTTTCGGTCTACTAGTACCGGTATTTTGTCTACCTCACAAAACTCTTTTTATATACACTACGGCAGGTCATACAAAATAATTACAAATTGTATATTTAAAACAAATATATATATATGTATAGAAGTTTAAAGTCAACGGTTCGCCATTTTCGGGGGTTGATTTGACCTTGAATATGTAAGAAGTCTTTGTAATTATTAGAACTGTACGAAAATCATACAATTCCTTCAAATATACATACATATACCTCAAACATGAAATTTCACTTTATATTTATATCGTTCACAAGTTTATAACAATGCTGAAAATTTGGGTATCCGAATATAGTCGACGGTGTGCTGTGAATACTATTACTGATAAGCTTAACTAAAAAATTCCCATTTTTGAAACTAAGGTACGATTGACAACCGAAAATAGCGAACTAGTTCAGTATAAGAACAAAAACATATGCTTCATGGACGAAAATAAAATATGCTAGAAATATAAAAACAAAACCTAGAAAAAGATGTTGTTACGTGTAATTTTCAGTTATTTTTTCATATATCTATATCGCTATACAATTGATATATTGAACACTATTTTAACAGTGGTATTTCTATATCGCTCTACAATTGATGTATTGAGAACTATTTTAACAGTGGTATTTCTATATCACTCTACATTTGATATATTGAACACTATTTTAACAGTGGTATTTCTATATCACTCTACAATTGATGTATTGACCACTATTTTAGCAGTGGTATTTCTATATCGCTCTACAATTGATGTATTGAGCACTATTTTAACAGTGGTATTTCTATATCATACTACAATTGATGTATTGAGTACTATTTTAACAGTGGTATTTCTACATCACTCTACAATTGATGTATTGAGCACTATTTTAACAGTGGTATTTCTATATCACTCTACAATTGATGTATTGACCACTATTTTAGCAGTGGTATTTCTACATCACTCTACAATTGATGTATTGACCACTATTTTAGCAGTGGTATTTCTATATCGCTCTACAATTGATGTGTAGAGCACTATTTTAACAGTGGTATTTCTATATCACTCTACAATTGATGTATTGAGCACTATTTTAACAGTGGTATTTCTATATCACTCTACAATTGATGTATTGACCACTATTTTAGCAGTGGTATTTCTATATCGCTCTACAATTGATGTGTAGAGCACTATTTTAACAGTGGTATTTCTATATCACTCTACAATTGATGTATTGAGCACTATTTTAACAGTGGTATTTCTATATCACTCTACAATTGATGTATTGAGTACTATTTTAACAGTGGTATTTCTACATCACTCTACAATTGATGTGTAGAGCACTATTTTAACAGTGGTATTTCTATATCACTCTACAATTGATGTATTGAGCACTATTTTAACAGTGGTATTTCTATATCGCTATACAATTGATATATTGAACACTATTTTAACAGTGGTATTTCTATATCACTCTACAATTGATGTATTGAGCACTATTTTAACATTTTAATACTGAAAATGTTCTATTTTATTGTAATATGCTAGTTATGCTATATGGACAGTTGTGGTCTTGACAAGCCACTGTAGCTTAAAAGGTTAGACATTTCGAACAAAAATGGAACAGAGTCAGACTGCTCAAAATATATGTTGGTTTAAGCTTAGACCGAAACATCTGCCTCTATCATCTATTTTGAAAACCTGGCATATCCAATTACTGTCAAAATATCTATCAGAGGCAAAAAAAAAAAGGAAGATGTTTCGGACTATCAGCTTAGTCCGAGTTTTAGACCTTATTAACCACTTCTTTGATTCTAATAATATCGAATTGAATTTGAAACTGTTCGTCAAAACTACCAAGAAAATTACCTTTTGATAGGTTAGTGTAAAATCTTGCATTTTCTTCTTGATCAAACAAAACAATATCATCTCTGTCCGGCAGAAATACGGACAATCTGTAGTCTATAACACAATGGTCAAGTTCTTTGTTATCCTCTTCTACCAGAGTTACATACACACCAATCGATTCGTCTTGATGAAAGCTACAGAAACACCTCCATACCAACCTCGTAAAGGCGGTGACATAAAACACATCTTTGCTGAAATAATATTCTTCATCATTCCATTTTTCAATATCAAAATTAAAAATGTAAGAAAATGGTATGTCTTGATCCTTAGCGCCATCTTCCGATCTTTCTAACTGAGCGCCATCTACTGAACTTTCACTCTGCAACTCATCACCAGGATCTTCTGTATTTATAAATGGTAAATTAGGCGGAAGTGGGAAGAGTAATGGCTTGGTCTGTAGAATACCGAGAATATCAGGAACCTGAATTATTCCTGGTATCCATTCTAACACCTCCACCTTGGGTAGCGTCATCTCTGATTCTTTCAGTTTGATTCGGAGTTGTTTTAGTTTTGGTAAAACTTGTACACGACTCAGAAGTGACTCATTGGGAGTAGAGGACAAGACGATCGTCAACTCCAACTCAACATCTTCAGCCTTTTTCTTTAGTTCGTCTTCTTTTTCCTCCATTTCTGATATACTTTCTCCACATTTGTGTCTGATTAATGTTTTTGCTCTCTCTGCCTTTTGTTCTATTTCTGCAATAGCCTTCATCTTGAATTCGTCCACTTTCTTACATTCATCGTGGCTATATGTTGTGAGAGTGCTACACAAAGTTTTCGAAACAGTTTTTGAATTATCTATAAATCCACGAATGTTGCCCTCAATTTCAAAGAATTCTTCATTGACTTCAACCCGAACAGCTTCACTTTCTAAATCGAAACTATCATGGTCGTTATGATATAGATGAAGACATTTATAACACATTGCCGAGTCACATTTTCTACAATAACACTCTACATCTTTCTTAACATGATTCTGGCATTTTGATCCGATTGTAGCCACCGGGGCTGATTTTTCTAAAGCGTAATTAGTAGGAAATGTTTCTATACCACCATCCGGCATTTTGATTTGTTCACGACACATAGCACATTCAAAAAATTCTACATCGTCTTCGCCAACATATTTCTTTAAGCAAGCCAAACAGTAAGAATGGCCACAATCCACCATTTTAGGTTTCGTGAAACTGTCAAAACAAATAGGACAGACTGGATCTCTATCTTCTGGAGCAGTCGCCATTTTGGTTTGTACCAAAAAGGAAATATTTTGAAAAAAACCCAATGCATTTTGTAAACCCCTATTAATAGCTCAGTGAATCACGCGTTGTGTTATGCATAGGACAGACTGTTATGATGCATAATAGAATATTATATACAATGAATGTCCACGTGACTTTGCAAACCACACTCATTTTATGGTGGTTGATAGCGACCACTTCGCAATTGAAATGCTCTCGTGAAATGAAAAGAGTTTGCCATAGAAGAAAACATACGCCCACTGGCTGCTTTGTTTGAATGAGAACATTTTGCAAAACACCAGCAAGTACATTTATCAAAATATATTTAACCATTCATTCTTTCGTAACATTTTTTTTTGATCGGGCACTTCTTTACGAGATGATTAATAATTGCACGAAGTTCAGCCCGCATCTAAGCTAAGTGAAAAAGGAAAATTGGTTATTAGAGTCAAGGTATAAGATGAAGATGTATACGTTATACCTTTACTATTGTGACGTTACTCAGCACGTCACCTACCAGTTCTACTACTTTACGAGTGCATTTAGTAGACCTGACCTGACCAAAATCAACCGGTCCACCTTGGAAGTTCCGCTAATGCTGTATTCTGTATACTGTTTACTTTTGACTAATGTATTTAAAGATGCAGATGCGCCATTTATATGACCAATCAAAACTTAGTCTCCGAAACGGGGATTTTTTTTTAGCTGTCCAGAATTTTCCGCGTTTGAAAGTTAAAATGACGAGTCGTCCTCAAAATTCTCAGAATTCACCCCAGACCATCCGAAAACCATTGGCTTCTAGGAGCCTCTGGCAGACACTACCGATCTCGCCTCGGAGAGACACCTCATATTTTTGGTTATTGTCTAGATACTCCCCCGTGGCTGACTAAACAAATATGACTCAATGAGACCAGAATGTTGAAACTGTTTTACAGATAGCGGAAGTTTCGTTATCAGTGGCCGGGCCAAAGGGGAGGTGGGGGGCAGAGGAGGCAGCCCACCCCCTCCTTATAGCCCCTAAAGCTTGATACAATTAGAGTTTCGTGTGGTCGGAGATAGTAGCAGGTCGAGAGAAGACAATACTACATCTATAGGAGAGAAACATCAAATCAAATTGCTATAGTGATCATGCCAGTAGCGGAGAAAACGAATAGGACCAGGTGCACGAACACGAATTTTCTGTAGATTTTACAATATTTTACTCATCTGAGTTTGAAAAACATGGGATGAGATTCACTTGCAATTCAGAGTTTTTTTTTTAATCGGATCCTACTACTTGCTAACAACTTGATGGTCAGAACTACTGGCAATTGACTGCGATTTTTTAGAACTCTGTGAGCCTTGGCCCGGTGCCACAATCCAACACTTGACTTTACGCAAATTTGAAGCAGTTTTTACGCAGGGGTATAAATGATGGTATCAAAGAAAACAATATCAATCTATTCCAAGAATACAATGTTTCAGGCATTATCACAGTACCCTTCACATTTTACCTTTTTTGATAAGAGAGACATTATGAATTTGAATTATGAAATCTATGTGGCTGACCATGAGAAATGTTTTGTGGCCTTGGGATCAGATCTCAGTCCAGCCAGTTTCCAGCCTCTCAGTAAAATCCATTCTACCATCCATTTTACCTGACGAACTGTAAAATTGGGCCTCTCCACCGAGGGTACGCGACCACACCCTATAACTGAATGGTGGTGTCATGAGCATGTCTTTGAATTTTTGTGATTCAACCAGGAGTCCTTATAAAACAGTCGAGTCCTGAATTTCAAGGTAGTTAAAACACAGCTTGCCACATTCGGCAATCTTCGGCAGTATCCGTAAAGCTGAATCTGTCTCGGTTATGAATGGTAGATTTCGTTGTGTCTTCTTGGGCAAAACTCTTTACTTCCGGCAATTCACAATTATTTGTCAAGTGATAGTAATATTGCGACATGAATATAGTTCATTTAGATCTCAAGGGGTTAATTCTGACACTAACTTTTGGTTAGCATTTGGTTATATGATTTGATTATCAGTTTACCAATGGTACATTTTTTGTATCATTTTGGATCCAAATATCACAATGGTTTTGTTGTTAGTGACTTTGTCTACAATAGTTGTAGTCCTGTACAACCAGCTCTAATGTGAGATCTTCAAGAATCACGTGATAACTTAATTATATGAAGACAGCTCAGGTAAATTATGGCTGCCTGTTCATTGGTGATAAGTTGCAGATTTCTAGAGGAATTTTACGATATAGCGGGAGAGATTGCACTGTTCCATAATTATCTTATTTAAAGGTGTGTTCACTTAAAGGCGCCTGTAAGTCTAGAGATGGAAGCTGCTTTTTGAAACCTTCTTTTCCCGTTAAAAAATAGGTGAATATAGAACCTTTGCCCTGTAATATAAAAATATAATCTTATGTTATGCTGAACAATTGTCAAAGAGACTGATTCCTCAAACAACAGTATGAACAATCTAAGGAATTTACCTTCATCTCCACGTAGCCTCGTTCTTCTAGTTGATATCCTCCTAGCTGATCTAAAACCATTTTACATTCAGGACTGACATGTATTCTTAAAGCTGAAATAGAGAGGAAACACCTATTAACTGTATTAAAGGGGCAGTTGCGCCATTTGTTTTACCATTCGTACCTAGTTGTCAGGAACGGGAATTGTTTTTAGATAAGCCAATCGGTAATAGTGTTCAGTGGAAACATGGAAACATTAGGTGAGAGGGCCAGGGTAAAAAATGATAACAAATTTTAGAGTGGAAGGGGGGGGGGGGGGGCAAAGCTCGGTCAACCTCTTTTCTGGGGGAGGCCCCTGCCCCCATCCCCTCCGGTGGAAACGCTACTGAAGTGTTCGCAGCATTCAAATCCATGTGTTTCCAAAATTATTCGCGATTGAAAGTTAAAAAGACGATTGAGTGGCGTGCAGTTTGCCATGGACCCCCAGAACTGAGACTAACCTAGATTTGGCTCCCAACTCACCAAAGTCTTATGCTCA